CCCTTGGAAACAAGATTAATATGCAAATGGCTATGCTGTAGTTTCCTAGTGTGCACAAGGATGGTCCCCAGGGTTGGGGTAGGGGAGGAGAGGCTGGAAGCTGAGAGCACAGTCAGCGGGTGGGTAAGCTCACATTCACCTCCTCCGCTCCTGGCCTCCTCCAGGTCTCTTCTGTACCACCTGCTTCCGTCTCCTGGGCAACACTTGCTCTGTGTGTGCATCTCCCCTCTCCTACCAGGGGGATGACCTGGACTTGGAGCTGTGAGTCTTCCAGTGACATAGGGTGGCTTGAGCCTGGGGGTGGTGGTGGCAGGGGGAGTGGCCATCCCTCCCTAGGACCTCTCTGGACCACTGAGATGGGAGACTTCTGCAGGGACTCCAGTGATGAAGAGGGTCCCTGGCTGTGGCTGGCTGCAGCTCAAAAAAAGGACCCCGAAAAAGAGTGGTTACTTGAGCAACAGGTCCAAGAAGCACTAGGCAGGACCAGCTCAGAGTCTAGCTCGGAGTCCAGGTGAGTGGAGAGCAGAGGAACTGGGAGGGTATGTATTGGAGAGCACACCGATAAGGGAATGCAGCAAGCTCTTGCAGCAGCAGAGAGAACAGAATAACCAATTGGGGCCAAGGGTATATTCCTGAAGGCTTCACAGAAGAGGTGGCAAATGGGTTGGATTTTAAGGGCAACCTGGTGATTTGTTAGGCCAAGGAGTTGACAAAAGCATTCCAAGGAGAGTTATGTGAATTTGAAGAATGTGAGATATTCAGGAGAGGAAAGCGTAAGGGGGGAGAGAGAGAAAGAGAGAGAGAGGGAGAAAGAATGAGTGTGTGTGTCTGGGTGGAGACCTTAGAGAATGTTGGGAGATAAGGTGGGAAGTCAAGGTGGAGATAGATGGGGAAGGGCCTTACTTATCATCTGAAGATCTTAGATTGAAAAAGTGACGTGTGCATGTTTGTCTTTTAGGATGATAATCAAAGAAGGCAGAGTGGAGGCTGGATGGGAGGCAGGGAGACCAGAGAGGAGGCTGTTCTAGTCCAGGAGAATTTGGTGATGGCCTTAGGATGGAGGCACTGAGAATGACTGAATGGATTTCCATGCTTAGGACTGGGCAAGGATTAGGGCAGGAGGAAGAACAGGTCTAGAGAAAGAGAACTGGTTCAGTTTGAGACCTTTGAGAGGTCTGTAGGTCTTTCAGCTGAAGATGCCCAGTTGGAAAGGTGCAGGGCTCTGGACTAGAGAGGTATTTGGGGGAGTTATTGACTTAAGAGATTGTACTAGAGAGGATAAGATAGACCATCCTGGCAGGTGTGGCAGGGGAAGAGAAGGAGACCGGCTCAGAACCCTAGGGAGCTCACTCCCAAACCTAGGAGAGACACTGAAGAAAGCAGGAGAGCCAAACATATCACATGCTGTGAGGTCACCAAGAAGGATGAGGACTGAAGACAAGCCATTGAATTTCGTAGTCGAGAGATCATTGCAGTGGTTTATGGGAACAATTTTCACAGTATCCAGAATGTGAAACCAGATCATAATGGCTTGTGGGGTGGCTGGTGGAGAGGACTCAGAAACAGGACAAAGGGCTCCTGTATCACTGTTGTAGTAAGTCTGATCATTCTTTTAGTACAGTTACTGCTGTAATTTTAAAAAAGAAGTTTGATAGTGAAACAAAGGAAGTTAGTTTCACATAGCAAAAATACCTTGAAGGGGACACAGTACCAACAGATTGTTCTTTATCCAGGGATAGGCAGGGGGATTTGAAGGAGTCCCTGAGTGGCACAAACGGTTAACTGCTGAAAGACTGGAGTTCAAACCCACCCAGCGGGGCCTCAGAATAAAGGCCTGGCAATCTCCATCCAAAAAGTCACAGCCTTGAAAACCCTGTGGAGCAGTTCTACTCCATAGGGTTGCCATGAGTCGACTTGATGACAACTAATAACAGGGAGATTTGAGCATTTAGGAGATGAAAAAGAAAAAAAAAAAAAAAAAAATTAAGAGCGATACAAGAGAGATGGGATCTAAGGCTAGGTAGACTAAGTGGCTTTGGAAAGGTATAGGCTCACCCAGGGCAGGAGGGGAGAGTGCATGTTCTCTGAGCAGAACTGAGTCTGCTCCAGACTGGTAGCCTCTTTTCTCTAGGGATTAGGAGGCAAGAACACCTGCTGAGAGAGTGAGGGGGTGGCTGGGAGTGGAATAAAGGTTTAAGGAGTGGGTGGTGGAGGATGAAATACCTGCCATGGGGAGTGTGCAAAGAAGCTGGCTGGGGAGCTTAAGGGATTTCCAGGTAGCGTTAAAGGCCCAGGTGATACTGAAAACACTAACACTGGCTCCAGTGGGCCTACTGGTTTTCTCTGGTAGAAGTGGTAGCTACTAACAGGATTTGAGGTCAGGGCTTTTTCTGGGCAGATCAAGGAAAGGACAAGATGGGAGAGAACTAGGGTGTCTTTAGTAACAGTGTCTGAGATGGCTTTGGGGTAAAGAAGGGGCAGAGGCCTGGGGGGTAGGCAGTTCAGGGTCTGTGTCTTGATGAGGTGTCAGAGCAGGAACAGTGGCCATAAAGGAAAGCTGGCAGGACAAAGAGAACTACAGCTTAGGGAAGAGTTCTGCATGAATCCAGTGAGTGGCCAAGGTTGTCCGTATGAGCAGAGGTAAAGGTCTTTAGGGCCAAGGAGTTCAAGGAATTGAAAGGCCAGAGAGTTGGATAGGTCCTCTGTGAGGAGGTTGCCAGACCACTCAAGCAGCCAGAGTTAGGTACCATATCCTGATGGACATGGCAGAGAGTGTGGTGGCCTGAGGAGCCAGGCACAGCACCAGTGGTATAGCTGTCATGGCAGCTGGGGGCTTTTGAAAACACTATGGCCAGTTGGGTTTGAGAACAAGAAGCTGCCTCCACTTGGGAGGGCTGCGAAGAAAACTGTCCAGTGACCACATTCCAGTGAGAAGGGGGCAGTGGAGGTAGTGAAGAGTCTAGAGGTTGGAGGGGAAACAAAGCTTTATTTTTAGCAGTTCCAGAGGGCCCAGTGATGTTAAAAGCTGGGTTGGCAGAGGGGGCAGCTTTAAGTATTGAGCAGGTATGATCACTGAGGTCACTACCAGTTTTGCCCTTACTGTCCACCTGTGCCTCGGCCTCAATTCAAGGGGATAGCTACTGCCGCTGGCTGGTATGCCTTCTGAGCCTGTTTGAGCAGGAGTAGCTGATAAATAACAGGAGCTGAATCTGCACAGGTAGGGGAGGAACAGGGGGCAGGAATGCACCTGTGAAAACTGTTGGTGATCTGGCCACTCGCCCTCTTCTCACTAGTGACCTGGATGAGGAGAGGGGCCTCAGCAGAGGAAGCAGCCACTGCCTGCAGCCCCTCAGCCCCACTGACCTCGGAAATCCTCCACCTCCACAGCAGCCAGCTTTAGAACCCCCAGTCCCTCTAACGCTCATCTCCTCCTGATCCCTCCCACCCATCCCCAGAATAAAAGAACCAAAGGTGGACACGAATGTGAATCTTAAATTATTATTATTTCTTCCTGTCTCTTACACCCAAGGTGGGGTGGGGGAGGGGGGAACAGAAGAGGGGAGATTACCTCTCCCCCTAAGGCACTGACTGGAAAAACCACAAGGAGGGGGAGAGGAGGGCACACTGTCCTCACTTCCTGGGGCTAGGCCCCAGATCTCCCCAGCCCTGGGCTCCCCCCATCACCTGAAATGCTAAGATGAGGCCCAGGGCAACCTGACCTCCCCCCCCAAAAAATATATTACATCATCACTTTTTAAATAGATACAGGGACTGGTCCCGCTACCCCCTCCCTGTGACCCCCCACTGTTGGGGTTACCTGGGCAGCTGTGCAAATGGGCATGGGGGTGCATGTGAGGGAGGGAGAGCACCGGGCCCCTGAACCTGCCCCTATTAAGGAGGGGGAGGAGTCGCCAGGCCAGGGAGGGAAAATAGTGCAAGACAGAGCCCAGGCCGCAAGGGGGGGGGGGTCCAGCACCCAGCGAGGAAGGGGAGGAGACAGCCCCCACCCCCAGCAGAATTGGAGAGTTAAAAATCTGAAACTAGATTTCAACAAGACCAACAGAAGAGGCTATGTACAGAACAGGGGTGGATTCGATCCTAATGGAAGAGTGAGATTATTCTCCCCTACCCAACCGGAAGCCCGGGCTGACAAGGGTCTGGAAAAGGGCCTACTTTCCCACAGCTCCACAGCCCTTTTTTCCCAGAGGCCAAGCGAGTTCTCTGCCCCTTGCTTTGACAAGAGGGCGCCCGCTCACCAGCTGGAGTGGTTGAGGTGAGTGAAGCCTGCAGCTCCCAGGGGCCACCGGGGGCGCTCGCCAGCGAAGAGCATGGCCGCCAGATGGCGCCGGCTCGCCCGCTCTCCGCAAGGCTCCCCCCAACCTCTCACCCTGTCCCACACCCTGAGCCTCGCCAGCCCGGGGGCGGCGTGAGTCAGGGGCGGCAGCGGTGGCGGTGGCGGCGGCTCCGGCTCGCACCTGGGCGGGGAGGAGGTTGGGGGGAGGAGAAAAGGGTAGGACGCAGCCCGGCCCGCCCTGCCCTCTGGCCCCGGGGAGGGAGCGGCGGGAACAAGACATTCCCTGCCCGGGGACGCGGGAGGGGAGGGGAAAGGAGCTGAGCGGCTCCCTCAGCCGGGCGGGGCCCCTCCCGCTGCCCCCAGGGGCGGGCGAGCCAATCAGGCCACCCCGCCCCCTTCTTCTCCAGGACCCCATGACTCAGCGCTGGGAGCAGGGCGGAGGGGACTGGGATGGCTCCTTCCTTACAGGCCCAGTCCCCCCAGTCTTTCAAGCTTCTACCTAACTTTCCTCTACCTACCCTTCCTTCGAGGCCCCCTTTTGCATAATTCACTGCCAGGAAAAGGGAACAGAAACCAGGAAGGAGGGGTCTCGGAAGGGAGGGGCAGTCCTTCACCCCCTTACACAGCCAAAACCCCAAGGGGGTATAGGGTGGGGCAAGGCTTTGGTCCCAAGCCCCCCACCCCTAGAAACCCGCATAGCCGAAGAGGGACCCCATGAATCAGGAATACATTATTGCTTCTACTCTCCAGGAGCAGCTGGGGACAGGAACTCCACCTTCACAATAGAGCTGTAAATATATACATATCATATGTATCACTCCTTGGGGATCACCCCAGTCTGGGGAGGCTCTGCCCCAAAACCTTCTTAGCTTGGAACTGGAATGAGGGCTCCGGAGGAAGGGGCTGATTCTGATACCAGCAAGGCTCAGTGCCCCCGGCCCCAGCTCTTCTATTCTGCTTGCTCCCACTGCTTAGCATGGGTGTCCCAGCCTTGTGCTGCTCCATCCTGGTCACATGTCCCTCTTTAAGAGGACTCCATGGCACCCTCAGCCTGGGGTGTGGTGGGTGTCCCCTCCTCGTCGTCCTCATCAGGGGGGCCTGGGGTTGAGACTGGGGGCCCAGTGGTGGCTGACTGCTCCCACAATCGAGCCAGGGAGAGGCGGAAGTTGTCCAGGTGGCCATTGGAGAGGTCAAGACCAGCAGGAGATGGGGTGGCAGTGGAGGGTGGTGGATAGTGGGGTGGTGCATCATCCTTGCGGCGCCGCCGAGTGCGCACCTCCAGGCAGTTCTGGCCCTTGAGGTGGCGCTGCAGGTGGTCCTCCTTGGCGAAAGCCTTGTGGCACAGGTGGCACTCGTAGGGCCGATCCCCTGTGTGCAGGTGCATGTGGTTCTTGAGGTCATAGCTGTGCAGGAAGCGGGCTGGGCAGTGTGGGCACGAGTAGGGGCGCTCTCCTGTGTGCTTCCGCATGTGGATCTTCAGCTTGTCATTCCTATCACAGGCAGGGGTGAGGGAGCAAGGGAGGTGTTCAGAATGGGACCCCCGGCTCATTCTGGCCAGGCTCCCAGGCCTTGTCCCACTCTTGTCCCTCACCATTTGTTTCCTATTTGCCCCAAGATACCCTTGTTAACTTGGCCCCAGCTTAACTGGGCCCTGCCATTACTCACTCCTCTGCCTCCAGCCCAGCCTCCTTGGGCACCAACTCCTTCATGCTCTGTACCTACCTCCCCTTTTTCCCCTTCCTATGCCCTCCTGCGGAAGGAAGACTGGGTAATCTACTTCCATAGAGATACCACCTCAAAAACCCAAGGAGGGGTCACTAGGAGTTGGAATTGACTCAAGGGCAGTGAGTTGTTTTTTTTTTAATGCCCACCTGGTCTCTCTCCTCACTCCAATCTCTCCAGGACCACCTACTTCACACCTCAAGTTTCATAACTCCTTCCCCCTGCCCCTCTCGACATGACCCCTTTCCCCACTGGATGCTCACCGAGTGAAGCGGACACCACAGACCTCACAGGCAAAGGGCTTCTCGCCTGTATGGGTCCTCATGTGGCGAGGCAGTTTGCCGGCCCCGTGGATGATCTTGTGGCAGACTGGGCACTCCTGGGGCATTTGGGAACGGCGTTTGCGCACCAGCTTGTCCTGGCCGTCCAGGCCTGGCGTCAAGGCGTCTTGGTGCAGGGAGCTTAGGTAGGCCATCAGGTCAGCATCAATGGCATCCTCATCTGAGCCCAGCTCCTCTGGAGACAGCGGGGGCCCGCTGCCCTGTGCCAACCCATAGGTTGGAGGATATACCAGCTCTTCCTCTTCTTCCTCACCCTCATAGCCCTCATAGCTCAGGGGCCCCTCAGAGGGTGAGGCAGTCCCTGCGGGAGGGCTGTAGTTGTCCCCCAGCCCGCTGCCAACACTGCTGCCTACTCTGCCTGCTACCTCCTCCTCCTCGAAGGTCAAGGGATGGGCAGGCACTGCTGGCACCTCGGGCACCAGGTGGTTTGCCCGAGCCCCCTTGGTCTGCAGGAAAGCTTTTCGGGGCTTGCGGCTGCGGCGGGCGACAGGCCGAGGTGGCTGTGGCGGTGGTGGGAGGGGTGCCTGTGGAACGCTGTCCTCACCGTTGGGCACTCCAGAGGCCGTGGCTGTGGCAAAGGCCTCCAGGTATTGGCGGGCCCGCTCACAGTCATCCTTATCAGGGCTGGGAGCTTCCAGCCCACTGCCCTGCAGAATCTCCATGCAGGCAGCGATGACACATGGGATCTCCAGCAACCGGGCAGCCTGCAGCACAGCTGGCATGTTGGCGCTGCTGGTGGTCAGTGTGGCTGTATAGGCAAATTCAAGCAGGGCACCCAATGCCTCTGGCCCCACAAAGTCCAGTTCACATACGCCAGCCCCTGCTCCTCCGGCTGCCATCCCGCCACCCCCAACCCCCATGCCTGCTCCACCACCGCCCTCGGTGAAGAGCTTCTTGAAGTAGTGGCTACAAGCGGCCAGCACAGCCCGGTGGGTGCGGTACTCAAGACCCTGCGTCCGGATGGTGAGGTCACATAGGTGGCCCAGCTGGCGCTGCTCGTTGAGGCAGCTCAGGAGCTCACTGCTGTGGTCTGGGAATGGAATCCCAATGAGGTCATCCTCAGGGCTCCCCATTTTCTCCTGTAGGGGCAAGCAGAAGAGGAGGGTAAGAACACACAGCCCTGCAAAGGGGTCTGAAGAAGGAGTTATGCTGGCCAACATTTATGGAGAAATGAAATTATTGTCATTATGCATGCCATCGAGTTGATCCTAACTCATAGCAATCCATAGGGCAGAGCAGACTATGGTACAGGATATTTTAGGCTGTGGTCTTTACAGGAGCAGATTGCAGAACCACTGGTGAGTTCGAACCCCTGACCTTTCAGTAACTAGCCAAGTGCTTAGTCACTGTGCCACCAGGGCTCCTTCCTAAGTGATTTACATCCAGTTAATCTTTCACTACTCTCTGAAGTACTACGATGATCCATTCCAAAGACAAGCAAACTGAGGTTCAGATAGGTAAAGTCACCTTCTAAAGTAAATGGCAGAATGGGGTTCAAACCCAGGCAGCTGACCTATAGTCAGTGTTCCTAAGCACGGTACTATTATAATTCTGTGAGCCTGTCTTTTTGGCCTTTTCCTAGAAAGGAAAATGTGCATCATCTGCCCCAGCCCATCCCTTTGGAAGGAGCACTGGACTGGAGGATAGAATGCCTGGGTCTTGGTTCAGGCTTAATGAAGAACTAGGTGAAGGACTCCAGGTAGCTCTGGCAGCAGGCCTCAGTCATCTGAAAAGTTGGTAACAGTCTATGCAGTGGATCCTCCTCACAGCCCAGGCAAAAGCCAACGAGAGAGAATTCAGATTCACACTGGACCAAGGTCTGCTCCAGGCCAGGCACAGTCAGGCACTTTAACTCAAGTTATCTCTCTAAAGCATTTGGTACACTGTAAAACAATATGCAAACAACAGGAGGTGGCTTCCAAGCACCCTCCTCCTCCTCCTGTCTCTCCCCCAGCCAACAATAAAGTTCATCTCCCCTCCTAGAACAGACCAAACGGGAAACACAGCTCCCAGCAGGCCCCCCACATCCTCCCCTCCCCCATGGGGGCCAAGGAGCAGCCACCCTTTGCTGGGTGCTGGCGGGGGTGCTTCCTGCCCCACACAGATAAGCATCGCCTCTGCCCCCTCCCCCACTGCCAACAGGCCAAGTTCCACCCCTCCCCCTCGGCTACCACCACCACCTCTCCCTCCCCATTCCTGGCCGGCCCCATTCCTGAAGAGTCCCCCTCCCCAGTGAGCCGGAGCCCATAGTCCCATCCTCTATGCTTTCCACTCCAAGACCTAGCCAGGGAAGGGACAGAGCAGCAGCAATCCCAAGTTAGGTGTCGGGGAGAGGAGAGAGGCTGGCCTGAAAATGGGGAGATCTGCTTCAAGTCCTGGCTCTGCTATTATCTTGCTGAATGACCTTGGGCAAGTCACTTCTCTCTCGGTTCTTCAGTTTCCTTGGCTGTACAAGGAGGGGGTGGGAGTGAAAGCCCCAAGGGCCCAGCCTTCCAGCCCTGACATTTGGTGGATCTGGAGCAACTAAAAAGAGTGTTGGGGGCTGGAAAGAGCTGGGCTCTGGAGTCATTCAGGCTTGAATTTGAAAACGCGGCTTTGATTAATTAGCTCTGCAACCTTCAACGAGAGATTTAATTTTTGAGCTTCTTTCCTCATCTACAAATGGGATAATTCCACCTGATTCCTAGGCTTGTGGTGAGGGTTAAATGAGACCACATATGGCACAATGCCTGACACACAGTAGGTGCTTAATACATGTTCTGCCTTTCAAGACCAGGAGGGAGAAATGTAGGTTCTGCTGGGAGAAGGGGGGGGCAGATTCACTATACAGATGACCTCTGCTGGGAACACTGCTTGCTGACAGGTCTGCTCCCTCCCTCAAATCACCTGAGGGAGCCAGGTTACTACCCGCCCTGTGACCTTGGACAAGTCACTTCCTTTCCAAGGAGGCTGGTTTCCTCATCTGTAATATTAAAGGTAGGCCCAGATAACCCTCCACATTTTGTTAGTGTTCTCTCTGCCACTCCTAGCAGCTGTTCAACCTGGGCCACTGATGGAGAAAGGCTTTTTAGGAGGTTGAGGGTCAAGGGCAGATTTCCGTCTTTAAGACACAGAGCTGCACTGTCTCTATGCCTCCCTGCCTGTCACCTTCCTTGCACCACCAGGGCTTGGCTCTTGCGTGGATGCCCGCTTGAGTAGCACCCACATATCTGTCTGTGCTTGTAAACCACACCTAGGTTCCCTTAAGTAGCCCACTCATTCCCACCCTAAGTCTCCAAACCATTTATCTCACTGGGAACCAAACAGTCTGGGAGCTCTCCTTGCTCTCTTTGGTTCCCATGCCTGTACTGTGCAAGTGGTCAGAGTGGTAAATGGCTGTAGGCCTTTGAAACAACAAAAACTAGGTGGGCAACAGCATCAGTCAGTGGCCATTTGGGCAGTAGTGAGCACTCTCCTGGGCCCAAGCAGATCATGTCCCTCCTGAGGGTGATGGGTGGGGCTAGCCTCCCAGCCCATTGGCAGAGAGCTGGGCACCCGCAGGCACGTGGCTCACCCCATCCCTCTCTCTCCTTTCCTCCCCACCCCACCCATTCCCGCTGCTAAGCCCGCCTTCTTTCTCCCACCCCAGGGCCAGTCTCTGTGGCAACTTGGTGTGGCGGGGGTGCTGATTGGCTGACCCCACTGTCAGGTCACAGGCTCAGGCTGGTTCACCAGGAAAATCTCACAGGGCTTGGGCAAGGGTGGGTGTTTAACCCCTTAGGCCCAATTCCAATCCCTCTGGCTAACAGGTAGCAATGAAGGGGGGGGGAGAGGTGCAAAGCAAAGGTGGGAGGGAGAGGCACGTGAGGAGGGAAGGGTATTCATACAGTTCTGCAGCTTCTGGGAAACTCCCCCAGCCCTTATCCAGGACTCTGGCACACATGCCAACTTAGATGCCACCTGGAGCTGTGCTGGTGCCAACCAGGCCAAGGGGGCACTCCTAGCCCCATCATCTGGGAGGAGTGGGTGGGGTAAGACCTCCCCATCTTTCTGCCAGGGTGGGGCACTGGTGCCAGGGTGCCCACCCCACCCTGGGCACCCTTCCCACCTCTGCATCCCAGAAGGTCCAGCCCCCCTGACGCCCCGTGAGGGCAGCCCATCTCCACCCAGCCTGGCATGCCCCCTCTTGTTAAGACCTTGTGGGCATGGGTGTGTACAGTGGTTGGGGGGGCATCTGTGCCAGGGAACCAGGTGAGGTCTGTTTGGTCTGTTGGCCTGGTAGGGGGAGAACTGGGAGCCCCGCCCCGATCACTCCCCCCTGTCCCGCCACCCCCCCAGGCTCCCCTCACTGTCAGGCCTGCTAGACCGGCCAGGCCGGTGGGCAGCTCTCTTGAAACTGGGCCCTGAGTCAAGCCTGTCCCAGCTTTGGTGGGGGGGAAGATTTAGGGGTGAGAAAAGTGGGGGGAGGCAAAGGTGGGAGCTCCTATCACCAACCCTTCAGTGCCCAAGGGCACCTGCCAGGGTGTGTCCACCACCAAGAACTCAAAAGGTAGAGGACACTGGCCCTGACTTGGAAAGGAAAAGGAGGCTGGAACACTTTCCAGGTGCTGACCTCAGGCAGTGTCCAGTATAGGGCTGGGGGGCACCCGGGCCAACACTGCAGGTTTGAGCCAGCTGAAGGGCAGGGATAGGAGGCCCTGAATGGGGCAGCTGAGTAAAGCTGGCCCCCTTCCCCGCACCCCCCCCAGGGATTAGGGGAGTGAGGCTTAGTGTGGGGGGCAGCAGGCGGAACCAGGATTAGTGGCGGAGAAAATAGATATGGGCCTGAGACACAGGCACACACAGCACCCCCCTCCCCAGACTAAAGTGAGTGTCCCCACCTCTGGGCTCTGCCTGAAAGGGGCCTGGCCAGGCTTCTTCAGGAGCAGCAGCGTGGAGAGGACCAGGCTGTGACATCCTTCTGCCAGGGGTGATGGAGAGACCTGAGATTCTTCCCAATAACTCTAGACTCCTTGCCAGCTGCTCCTCCCCCTTACTTCTTTCTCCTTTCTACCCCCAGCCCCCACCCCAACTCCAGCCTCAGGTTCTCTTCCTGTTTTTTGGAGCTAAGTTTGCACGAAGCCAGGGCTTTGGCCTGTGGCTGGACCAAGGGGGTGGGGGAATAGGAGATGTAGTGCAAACTCCTTAAGGACCCAGGAATCCTAGTTCTCCAGCTTCCCCCAACCCTTCCCAGGACCTCTGGAGCCCAGGGGCCATAGCCATCTGGACTGCCCAGTGGGGAGGCTGGGTGACTAGGCTGAGTCACATTCCACTTGAAGGTTGAAGGGGCTTGAAACATGAGGTCCTCTGCCCAGGGATGTCTTAGGCACTTAAGGTCCCCTTCTCTCTGCACCCCAGCGCCCCCAAGCTTAAGCCTGCCTTCCCCATCCCCCCATATGACGCTTCCCCCCCTCCTAACCTCACCACCCCCAGCACTCACACTTCCTGGGGGGAGGCGGGGAAGAGAGACCGCAAGCCAGAAGGGGGAAGGAGGCAAGGGGAGTTGGCTGCTTCCCGGTGCTGTGGGGGTTAAGTCTCTCCCCACCTCAAAATCCCCTATTCCTGGCACTGGGACTCCTGAAATGAGGGAGAACTCAGTGCTCTCCCACGTTTTCTTTCCATAACACCAGCCATAGCCCACAGCACCCCAGGCTCCATCAAGGGAAATATGAGGGAGATAAAAGATGGGGGAGGAAGGAATGGGGGAAACTCCTTTTCTCAATAGCCTTCCTCAATAGTCTCCTCTTTACCTTTGGGTAGTCTCTGCCCCTCAGCCTTAGCCATCCCTCGTCATACTCTTGGCCCCTTTTCTTGGCCTACTGTGTCTGTCCCCTTACTACCTTCTCCAAACCCTCTTCCCTGACGGACATCTCTCCTTTGCTGTTCTGCTTTTGGCTCTTGCCAGGCTGCTCACCTTCTGTCTACCACATCTATGTCCTAAGGCCTAATTCTAGGGACCATCACTACCTCTGCCTTCCTTTTCCCATTCTGTTCTCCGTCTCAAGCCTCTCCCACTTCTTCCATTTCTCCTCTGCCCTAAGCATCCCTTCTTTTTCTCCTC